GCTACAGGTTTGACTCAACCCTCCAAAAGCAGGTAAGTTACATTTCGTGCAGCTGCCCGGCACACAAATGCATCTCCCTGATTGCTGCTACTTTGACATTTGGCAAATGCCTGATGTGGTAACATGTCTGCATTGACTTCCTCCCTGGAATCCGCCCCGGACCATGGTAAGGGGCTGGCGAGGGGAATGAGGTGTTCAGTACCTCAGGTAGTTTATTCTGCCCCACTGACGTGAAGATCAGAAAGCCCCTCCCCCCGTCTGAACGTACCCTGCAGGCAGGAAACAACAGCCCAAGCTCAGGAACGCTACGCTCTTGCTCCCTGAGGAGGCTTTTCTCTTTTGGTGTCATCCCATGTCGCAGAAACGTACAAAAACTGTATGAAATCCCAGCCCTGTAACTGTCTGGGCTACAGCGTCGGCCCCTCACTCCCTTGTTGCGCTGGAGCGGAACCCAGCCCAGCTGCGGATTAGCGAAAGCAAAGATGCAGGAGGGGGACAAAGTGTACAGGGCCTGACCCTGCAGTCCTTGCGCAAGCAAAACCCCCGTTGTGTGGAGGGGGGATCTGGGAGTGAGCTGACTATGGCACAGCTGTGGAGAGTCCCGCCCCTCCTGCACCGGAGTAAGAATCTCAGGGCTTGGACCCCAATAACGATGTAGCTTTTGGGGTGCGCTCCCAGCGCCTGGCTTGAGTGTTTACGTTTCCTGTCAGAATCGCTCCCCTGGAAGGTCCCAGACGGGGGCCAAGGGCTCAGTCCTGCCTGGTGGCAAGCCCCCCAATTTGCAGGGAGGTCAGCGGGAGCTGGCACTTGCTGCTGGCACAACGGGGCTGGAGAGGAACTCCAATGCCGAACCGTTCCCAGGTTTGGACGGTGGTCATCATTAAGGCATAAGCATTTCCCTGGAGTTACCACGCCCCAGGATCTGAGACAGGGCAGGCAGTGGCTGTGCGTGGGCCTCACAGCGCTACCCCATACCATTCCCCGGAGAACCACGGCCACGCGGGGATTTCTGTACTAGCTGTCGCTACCTGGCCACGAGACTGTGTGCCCGGCTTTGCTCGCACTACGGACTGACGCGTGCAAGGAACCCCTCGATGCTCCTGCAGGAAATCTGCGAGGATAGCAAGGGCCCCTCAGCTCTGGCGCTGCAGACAGTGACATCACTCATTGGGGGACCGGCTATATTAAGACTCCTCGGGATTATGTGTGAAACTTCCCCCCCTTACTGTGTTTCCCTGGTTTGTCAGGAAGGCGCTCCAGCTGGCAGCCAGCTGACGCGATTGCTTTTTGGTGAAGGAAGTTTGTATATTTGGGGCTATAACAATCATTCTTAGCACTTTCGCAATGCTTTCCATCCCCAGAGTTCAAACTAGCTTTAGGTGGGTAACGTAGGCCTGCCGCCTACCCCACCCCACATTGACCTAGCCTGGGGCGAAACGCCGGCCCGTCAGCACGGACAGCTGGACAACGGATGCTCTGCTACTGATAAAGCACCTTCCCCTTCTGCCTGGGATGGAGAATCCACCCCCTCCCCCTCGCTCAGTTACCCTCACTGCGACAAACGTGCCCCTTGTGTCTAGTCTGAATGATCGAACCTCAACTTCCAGCCACGGGGCCTCACTGCGCCTTTGTCCGCTAGGCTGACGAGCTCTCTGGGATCACATATCTGGTCCCCTAGCAGGCTATGATCCATTCACCCCTGAGCCCTCATCACAGACCTGGTCCCCTGCTGGTGGCTCCCCAGCTCGCTGCAAGGGGATCCAGACCCTGAACCCCCATGCGCTTTCAGTGTCCCTGGGCCTCAGGCTGCTGCAGCCCTGGCTCCTCCTGGGCACCTTTCCCAGGAACGGACCCTTCATCTGTCACCCCTTTCCCAGATCTCCCCGCCAGGCGCGAGCCCGCCGGGTTACTTCTCCAGGGATCTGCAAGGGAGGGGGGAACCCTTAGCATGCAGACGCTTTGCAGAAGATTCTAACATGCCCTGCATGCAGCGTCATGCACCCGGGGTGGTCCGAGGCCCGCAAGCCCAAGTGGCTATTTAATGTGTCTTCTGCAGCTCCTTGCAGCCCAGGATATTAACCATCAGGAGCCTTTTCCTGCATTCTTAACCAACTGTAGGTAAAATACTACGACTTGGGCAGTCATTTTCCTGTGAGAATAATAAATAGCAATGGAATATTTCCACATGAATCTCCAGCGCTATGACACAATGAGGTCACTCTCCTGTGGCTCTTTGGGGTAATGCTGATCACTGATTTGGCTCCTGAACCCCTGAGGTCTGAGTATCGCTGTAATTCACCAAGTGCGGATCACAGAGAAAAGCCCCCGCCCCCAAACACAATGCCCCTCCCTCAGCTCACCCGTCCCTTGGGAGACTACCTGGGTTCAGGTAGGCGGGGCTCCCCTGCCTCACCAGGCTTCTGCAGCAGCTTCCCTCTTCATGAGCTGGTAAAGATGGCTGAAGCTCAGGCCCTGCCCTTTATAACCTCCCAGTCCCTCCATCAGGTGACTCCTGGATCAGCCTCAGGTGATCCCAAACCTCTACCGGGTGACTTCATTGCTAGGTGACCCCTCCCCTGCCAGGTGACCTCTGGTTAGGAGCTAGTCTATTGTGTAGGAGGATGTTTGTATTTGAATAGCAGGCCAACCAAGTTAATTACCCTCTTTTGCCAGCCTGGCATCACGACGCCTTGGCATTTCAGTCTGATATGGAGGTAACAGCCCAACAGAGAGGGCAATTTGCCCCCACGTTCACAATGGAGTTGGCAGTTTGGTATCGATATGAGCAGAAAGTTCATAATCTCACACTGAATTACTAAACTGTGCAGACAGATTCCCAAATCCTCATGCCTCCTGTCTGATAAGCTGTCATCTGAGCTCTTTGAGTTTCTCACTGTAAGGCAGGTTTTTCCAATCCTTTAATCGGCCTCAGGGCTCTTCTCTGAACCCTCTCCAATCCACCACCATCCTACTTGACTTGTGGGCACCAGAGCTGGAGGCGGTATCCCAGTGCCAGATACAGAGGTCACAGAACTCCCTACCTGACTCAAGATTCCTCTGTTTAATGCACCGAAGGATGGCATTAGCCCTTTGGGCCATGGCGTGGCCCTGGGAGCTAGGGTAGCCAACACGGTATTTCAGAAGTAAGGGGCCACTTTCTTAGCACTCCTCCTCCCAATAGTATTATTAACAATACTAAGCAGCACTGATGAGGCCTCAGCTGGAGTCTTGTGTCTAGTTCTGGGCGCCACGTTTCAGGAAAGATGTGGACAACTTAGAGAAAGTCCAGAGAAGAGCAACAAAAATGACGAAAGATTTGGAAAACATGACCTCTGAGGGAAGATTGAAAAAATTGGGTTTGGTTAGTCTAGAAAAGAGAAGACTGAGAGGGGACATGATAACAGTTTTCAAGTCCATAAAAGGTTGTTACAAGGAGGAGGGAGAAAAACTGTTCTCTTTAACCTCTGAGGACAGGACAAGAAGCAATGGGCTTAAATTGCATCAAGGGAGGTTTAGGTTGGGCATGAGGAAAAACTTCCTGTCAGGGTGGTTAAACCCTGGAATAAATTGCCTAGGGAGGTTGTGGAATCTCCATCATTGGAGATTTTTAAGAGCAGGTTAGACAAACACCTGTCAGGGATGGACTTGAGAATACTTAGTCCTGCAGGGGACTGGGCTAGATGACCTCTCGAGGTCCCTTCCAGTCCTATGATTCTATGATTTATGCACAGCTAAAAAGCTTGTTAGCAAGATGTATCTTTTTCTTCTTCCATGGAAATGTACAGAGTAGGAAACATGGAGAACATACTTTAGTTTTTGGCCCACCAGTTACATTCTTCGTGAAGAAGAGACTGTTGCCTTGAACACTTGCGATATGTATTCTGTGCTCCCGAAATGGAGATCCGAGGGCCTGATTCTCATCTACACTAAGGCTCCTAGAGTATAAAGGGGACTTAAAGTGGGAGTGCAGAGCCAGAGCCGTGTAAAAGGGCCTGAGAGTGAATTTGAATCAGGCCCTGAGTGTTTATTCAGCACTAAAGTGGGTCAAATTATTTTCAGATAAATTATCTGATGAATTTTGGCATTTTTCTTTAATTAATTATTCACAAATGTCATTTTTCATCATTTAACCAATTCAATGAAATTCTATGATCTTTTTTGCTTACGAAGTTCATGTTAGCATATATGCTGCATCAGTGTGTGTGTGTAGCCTTACATACAGCTAATATCATGGTACAGCAAGGGCTGTTCATTATTGTCAAAACAAAACCAAACCTCAATGCACAGATTTCTCTCCTAATACCCTGCTCACTGAAAACAGGCTCTAGGAAAACTTTACCTCCCTAAAGTAGATTCTTCTGAAATGTTAAAAAAGTGTGAGATCAAGTATTTTATTCTGAAGTACTCTTTTGGTGACACTACGGCTATTCCAGGTCTTTGGGCCAAAGATGAAGTAAGAAGTTAGTTCCATAAGTACATGGAAACAAGCTATTATCCCTTGCCATAAATCTTCTACAGAATATGTGCTTCTAAACCTGAGGCTGGCTGTACAGCCTGAATAAACAGCAGCTGCGATCGTTTTTGGTTTCCTGCACTGAATTAATGGATGGGAAGGTACGATTTTAAAATCTGGGTTTCCTCTAGCTGCAGCATGCTGCAGTGGCCATTGTGATGCATTATTCCCCTTAGGAAGCCATCTGAGATACCACTAAGTTTACCTGTTCTGCCAGCCTGGGCCCCCTTTTACCTGTCTTGCTGAGCCAGGCTAGTAAAATCTCCTCTAACACACACACACAGGCAGGGCCACACCCAGCTGCAGATCAGCTCTGGGAAGACTCAGCTTAAGGGACTTGCTCCAGCACTCAGGTGACCCCCCCTCTTGGAGTGCAGACCCAAAGGTATTTTATGAAATTCGCCTCCTCCCTCAGTGTGGAGGAAGGTATGCACAACTTCTCACCCACCCCACCCTCCGCCCCCAGTTAGAAATGACAGAAACTGGGTTACATTATAAACAAAACAAACTGTATTAACTACAAAAGGCAGATGTTAAGTGGTAAAAGGGGAATCAAACAGAACAAACCAGATTACTGAGCAAATGAAACCAAACATGCAAATGAAGCTAGTTTCACCAAAGAAATTGGTAACAAACAGTATGTCTCACCCTAGATATTGTTACAGGCAGATTACAGAAAGTCTTGAAAGGCAGCTACACTGGTCTCCCTCTTGAGACTCACAAGCTAGATGCCCTTCCAGCTTGGGTTCAACCCTTCTTCCGCCCTGTTCAGTTCTTGCTTCCAGGTCTTTTTCTGTGTCTCTTCGAGTGGGGAGACAGAGGAGAACCATGATGATGTCACTCTCCTGCCTTATATAGCTCTTGTGTAAGGCAGGGAACCCTTTGTCTTCTAGTGGAAAACCACTGGCATTCCAAAAGGGGAGGAGAGGTATCCAGCCCCAGGTGACTCGGACCCATGTCTCTGCAGGACTGTGGCAGCCATGGCTCATGGGCTGTCTCCAGCGTCCACAGGAAGGCTAAGCGCTTTCACAGTCCATTGTCTCTGCTAATGGCCTATTAGCCCTGTCTGGCTTTTCCATTGTTGTACCTGAAGGGCTGGTTGGGGGTGACACCCAAAGTAGCACATTTTAAATACAGATACATAGTTAATATTCCTAACTTCAAATACAGAAATGATACAGGCATACAAACTGGATAATCACATTCAGTAAATCAGAACCTTTCCAGTGATATCTCCCATGAGCTATCGTGCATAAAGTACATCTCCGCTATGTCGTATTCATATTGTAAGCATATTTTCCTAGGGAATATGGAATGGAATGTCACAGCTGTATTCTTTCTGTACCGGCCAACATGCTTGCTTGTAAATGTGGTGATTCATAGTTGGAAAGGACATATTAGCAGTGCAATTAAACCACACCAGGTCCATCTGCCAGCTGCTTGGGCACCATCTGTTAACGAGATACAAAGGGTTACATCTCCACTCCGAGAGGATATTTTATAAATCTCTCTCTTTACAGCAGTGCAGTCAAGCACTGGGGGAGAATCCAAGCTAGCAGCTAGTCAGAGTGGCAGCCTTGCATTCGGAATCACAGCCCCAAATGAAGAAAAAGTTTTTAAAACACCCAGAGATGAATTTCACTTGCTTGAATTTCAGCCTTTAGGTGCCCATGAAAATCCCTCTAGTTTTTATTGTATTTTTCCCTTGAGGGTATTCCTGCCCATTTGGACCCTGTGGGGGAACTAGGAGCGCAGGTAGAAATGGCTGAGTCCCCTTGGATGGGGACCTATGTTACAGCTGGTTACAGCAAGGCATGCAGAGTATTTCACCCAGGGCATTAACAGTGAGCCCTTGGAGCAAGAGGTGTGGGCAGGCTGACAGGAACCCTCACCAGGTTTGAGAGACTGCGGTCACTTTGAACACACCATGAAGGAATCGGTGGGGAGGCGGGAAGGCAGACAGCCAGAATCTTCTACCAGCCGTGGGAAAATCCTGAGAGCTTGACAGTCAGATAACTGGACTGGCTGGCTCATGGCTCAGCTAAAGAGGAGAGATGGGCAGAGAGGATTCTGGCTGGCTGGCTCCACCTGCCTGCAAGATGTGGCCAAGTGATCCCTGGTGTCTATAACCCTCTGAGGGGGTTGCGCGTGTCTGTCTTGCACCTCCTCCTCATTAATACACTCTCATCTCCCTGGCTCCGGCATCCCGCCTATTGTTCCTTGACTTCAGCGGGGCTCCTTGTGTGAGTAAAGCTAAACCATGGATGTACGTGTTTACAGGGCTGGGGCCTGAGGCATTTGCTCTGCATTAACTACCTGACTGTGTTTAAAGTTATAGTGTTAGAAAATTATACCTTTTAAAACCCAGGCCCTGTATCCATGGATCATCCCCAGCAGTGTATTGTCTGGAATACAAATAGGCTGCAAAGAACAACAACTTAGTGACAAAACTACAGGCTCTGTGACAAAAAAAAAATGAATTTTTTAAAAATATTACTGCTCAGTTCCCAGAGCTCACTAAAAATAAATTGCTTTTTGCAGTGGGTGAGAACTGATGATAAAATCTTTCAGAATAGTCAATCACGCTGCTGCTTTCCCATAGATTTTCTGTCATGAGGAAAGCACTTTAAACAAACTGCTGGTCTATTGAAACCAGGACTATGGGGGGAGACAAAATCAATTTCATTTGAAAAGAAGGAATTTTCTACTAAATCCTATTGCACTGGATAGTAACACACTCACGTGACATTTCTTTGGCAATTCTATCAAACAGAATCTCCCGGACAGAGCGCACAGCAGAGGGTGGATTTTGTTGCCTTGAAATGCAGTTCTGATGCGGATTCTGATTCTGGCCCCGTTCTCATTGCTTTGCGCCGGCAGCCCCTTGCAAAGGTTCCAGAAAGCCAGCTGAACTGGCTACCGGGGCGTCCCCATTTCATCCCCAGGTGTGATGGGAGAATGAGTTTGGATAGAACTAAAAACCAGCCTCAGCTAAACACTTGAGCTCTCACGAGAGGAGCCCCTAGGAAGTAACACTTTGCTAGCCAAACGCCTTTGTCTGGAAACTAGGCTAGAAACTGGAGCTGTGGAAGCCCCACTGGAGTTAGTGAAAACCTCATCTGAGTGGGTTCCCATCACTCCCTTGTTTCACTCAGAGTTTCAAGTTTGAACGAACCCCGAAACACAAAGCAAAACCAGTTCTCCGCTGGGCATGCCATGCTCTGTCCCCTTCTGCGGCCTAACTCCTCCTCAGTCTGGAGTGGTCGTTAACAGAACTAGGGTTAATGGGTCAGGCAGAAGTTTGAATTGCGTGTTGTCCCAGTGGCTGGGCTGGCACCTTATTGTCGTCATGAAGGGAACCTGAATCCCTCCCTGACCGTGGCAACTTCTCCCTCCCTTTCTGGGTCAGTGGTGCTAGGTGACAACCTGGGTTGCCAGTGCCAGAAGGGGGTACTACGCCTGTGCATTTCCACTAGCAGCCGGTTCCTGAGGAAGGGTCACGTCTGTGCAGCACTTCACATGGGGCTCAGGAAAGAGGTTTTTTAAATGAAGGAGGCTTTGGAAACACGTTTTACAGTTATGCTCAATGCTCCTCAGGCCTCTCTCCCTGCTCCTGGAACCTTCCCGCCCCCACTCCGGCCTGGCAGCGTAACAGAAACGGTGTACATTAACTCTCACAGCCCCAGACCCCACGGATCTGCTCTGCGTGACTGGGCCCGAAGATGGTTTCTCTGCCTCCCTTTGCACAAGCAGCTCAGCCAAAATCAATGGCGTTATGGGAGTGTTTTATGGCTGTACGCGTCACTGGTGAGTTAATAGAGAAGGGCCAAACAGATGGCACTCAAGAGGATGTAGCATAGTTACCAGGTTTTATAGGACCAATAACACTTGTTGCTGTGCACAACAAATGGCTTCCTTTGTGTTGCTCCTTATGTGACCACTAAAATGAGACTACCAAACGCGGCAAGATAGGAGTAAGAATGGGGCCCTTCCAACACCACGAATCAAATACTGTGCTGGGTGTTTTAAATCACCACCATGGCATGTAGCTAGTTGGATTAGAAATGCCCTTCTCTCACCAAGAGACTCAAACCGTTGTTTTGTTTTCTGAGCTGTCGGGGAGCTGATGAGTTTGAGATCTACTGAGCGGGCCTGATCCATCTGCTAAGAAGCTTGAAAATATTGTGCTTCGCGGCGCATTATGAGGAGAAATCTATTTCTCTTCTTGAAAACGGCTGATTCCAGTCAGATCCCTGGTTAGCACGGTGAGATCCACAACTCTTAGTGACACTTTATCCACAAATAGACAGGAGTAAAGCCACTGCTTCTTACCAAGTTATGTGTGGCTCCAAAGTTACATTTGGAGGTAACAATGAACTGGCATTTGGCTCTTAGCACCACCTGAGACAAGAAAGCCTTACTGAGGGTGAGTTTTCAGACATTATGTGCGGCTTCTGTATCTTACAAGTGACTTTTCTGTAATAACGGGGATTTTATTCAGCAGTCTGCCACAAAGGGAGGGAGGAGTGATGCTATTTCAGGGGATGTGAAAGACTTTTCACTGCAAGTTTTCCTCTCCTTCATTGATGAATTTGAAAGATCAAATGCAGGAGACACAATGTGGAATGAAAAAGCTACATGCAGACAGACGGAGTAAGTATGAATCTGAGCACTAGCCATTTCCTACATGGATGAAGGCAGCCTTCATTGACTACACTAAGCAGGGCTATATTAGACCCCAAATCAGCCAAACAGACGTGCTCAAGTCCATCCCAGTTCAACAAAGAATTTAAGCACATGCATAATCTCAGTGACTTCAGTGGGATTTACCCGTGTGCTTAAGGGCTTCGTCTTCAGCACATGCATATTAGGTACTTCGTCTCCAGAAAAAATGGTAGGGAAAGGGATTGGCATAAAACAGGAAGAGGGTGGAAAAATCTGGGAAAAACCTGCCACCATAACTCCCACTTCTTGGATCCTGGGTACCAAATTCTCTCTCTTCAGTTAGGTGAAGAAAAACATCCCCCTTGCTTGCTTCTTCCCCAGGGGGAGGATGCCCCAAAGAAACCACCTCCTAGGTGCGAAGCTGAAGGAAGATGGGGCTCACTCTTTCTTTCATAAGGTCTAATGAGGAGTCCTCTGTCCCCTCTACTCGTCCTGCTTTGGGACTTGAATTTTTCTCTTAATTTGGTTCATTTCAGATCTCACTCGCAGTTCCCCTGCTTCTAGGACACATATATTTTGTTTCAATGCATGGAAGAGAAGCATCTTCCTTACCTAATATTCCCCCCCCCAAGTTATGTTAATTATCAGCTCTGTATTGATATCAACATTTTGAAGCCACCTCGCTGTCATGCAGTTACCTCTCCTGCGAGTTGTCCCTGAAGTAATGCCCCCACTGTCCCTGCTATCTTGCTAGTAGGTTAATGTTGTGACAGGGTCGGGCCAGATGGTTACAGGAGAATGATAGAAGGCAGATATATTAGCCCCAGGTTAAGTAGGTCCCTTTTCCCTGGGTAAGGAAACAGGGAAGGTTCCAGAACAATCACAAACTTTCTGGAAACAATTAAGGCAGACAGGCTGATTAGAACACCTGCGGCCAATCCAAGAAGCTGCTAGAATCAATTAAGGCAAGCTAATCAGGGCACCTGGGTTTAAAAAGGAGCTCACTTCAGTTTGTGGTGCATGTGTGAGGAGCTGGGAACAAGAGGCACGAGGAGCTGAGAGTGAGAACACGTACTGTTGGAGGACCGAGGAGTACAAGCATTATCAGACACCAGGAGGAAGGTCCTATGGTGAGGATAAAGAAGGTGTTGGGAGGAGGCCATGGGGAAGTAGCCCAGGGAGTTGTAGCTGTCACACAGCTGTTCCAGGAGGCAGTCTAGACAGCTGCATTCCACAGGGCCCTGGGCTGGAACCCGGAGTAGAGGGCGGGCCCGGGTTCCCCCCATCCCCCCAACTCCCTACTTGATACCGGAGGAGTTGAACTGGATTGTGGGTTCCACCGGGGGGAAGGTCTCTGGCCTGTTCCCCAATCCACTAGGTGGATCAGCAGAGACTGCGGGATTGTTCTTCTTCCTTTCTCCATGCTGGCCAGTGATGAGGCTAACTGAGTGAACGGCAGATTTGAGCCACGAAAGTGGCCAAACTGAGGGCTGCCGTGAACCTCTGAGGCGAGAAAATCCACCAATAAGTGCAGGACCCACCAAGGCAGAGGAAGAACTTTGTCACAATGTCAATTACTTATTTTAAGCCAGTGGCTTTCTAGTACAAGCACTTTCGATTGGCATTTCCCAGTCCATCCATATTTCTGTCTTTGAGGAGGATTATGCCAGCACACGGCACCAGCATTTCACCCATCACGCCCTTCACATCAGTTTGCTCACTCAGATGGTTACTGGACTTCGACCATGGCTGCTGCATACGTGACATGACCTAGTTAGGAACTTCAGGCAGGCAGTGCAAATAATAGAGAGATGTTTCACTTTCTTCCTGATGTTCATTTCGGAGATCAGACTGATCAATCTGAGGAGCCCTTCTCCCTGGGGTGCACAGCCATAACGCCCAGGGCAATGGGATGTTGTTATTGATTTCTGGTGATGCCCGTAGGCTGGTGGGCACTTTGGGTCTGAAAGCCGAGTTTCCTGTCTATGTTTATCGGTAATAACAAAATGCAGCTGGTAAAGCTAGAGTCCTGAATAGACTCCCTGCTGGTCCCCAGCGCATGGTAGGCTGGACAAATACACTACGCCATATTCTTACCTGCATCCAAGGTCCTGGAGCATAAGCTGCAGAACCCTGGCCCAAATGAGAGCTCACATTTAACGCTGCTGTGGTAAGGAGCCCCAGGGACCCTGCCCACCATGCACCCTGCCTAGCACACTTCTGACATGACTCCTTCCTCCCTTCCTGCCAGGGGGAGGGAAAGCAGCTGGCCCAGGAGACAGCTCTGCAGCCTCCACCAGCTCTACCCGGCAGCGAGCTTCCCAGCATGAGGAGAGCACTTACAGGCTGCTGTCACTCCGCCTGCCACGGGACAATCCAGACCATTGTGTGCACACCCAGGGCTGGGGTCTCCTCTCAGCCCAGCAGAACTTCACTCACTTCAGTGCTTTACATTGATCCAGGAGAGACGGGAGAATCAGGGCTCCCAGAAGTGGTGGGTACCAGGAGAGCAGCCACTTACTGCCCGCGAGGGTAACCCTAGAAATGCTCATGCGACTGCAGCACGGGAGAACAGGGCTATTGGGTTCAATGGGAGATATGAAAAAGAGATTCACTGGCCCTTTAAAAGGCCCTGCTGCAAACACCCGCCTCCTGCAAAGCTCCCCAGCAGTAATGAACAAATCGAGGGCACTCAGGGGTGTCTCTCCGCACCCAGCTTTTTGAGGTTCACCCACAGCTACCCAGCACCTCAATTCGTACCCGCACTGGGGAGAGAAGACTCAGGCTTGAGGCGACTTTGTTTCTCAGGTGTGTATGCGCTCACTGCCCTGACTGACTGAGCAGCTCCTCGTGCTGCAATCAATGCACTGAGTGCTAGATTCCAAGGCTGGAAGTGAGTGTCCTCTGACCTGAGCCCCTGCTGAACGCAGCCCAGAGACGGTCTGCCAGGGGATCCTGCTTCAAGCCCGTACTTTTCGCTTGAGCTGGAGCAGATCTTTAAGCTGGACATGAGATTTTGATTTAAAAACTTCAGATGGCATTGAGTCCATTCCCTTCTGACCTCATTGTTCCAGTGGTTAATACCCACACCGTTAAAAATCTGCACCTAATTTGTAGTCTGAATTTGTCTAGCTTCAGCTTCCAATCACTGGATTTTGTTATAGTTTTGTCTGCTAGCCTGAAGAGCCCTCTAGAATCAAATTTCTGTTCTCCATGTAGATACTCTCAGACTGTGATCAAGTTGCCTCTTAACCTCCATGTTAAACTGAATAGATTGAATTTACTTAGCTTCTCCCTGTAAGGCAAGTTTTCCAGACCTCAAATCATTCGTGTAGCTCTTTTCTGATCCCTCTCTAATTTATCAAATTTCCTTTTACTAGAAGTGTGGACACCAGAGCTAGGCACCGTATCCAGTAATGATCTCACTGATGCATAGACAGAGCTAATACGACCTCCCTACTCCTACCTGATACCCCTCTGTTTTTACATCCAAGAATTGCATTAGCTCTCAGCCACTGCACCACTCAGAGCTTATGTTCACTTGGTTATTCATGAGGATCCCCAAGTCCTATTCTACGTCACTGCTTTCCAAAGTACATTCCTTATCCTATACGTGTGACCTACATTCTTTGTCCCCTGATGGATTCTGACCTTGCACTTCAGTGTATCCAAATGCATTTTGTTCCAGTGTGCCCAGCTCCCAGAAGATCCAGATTGCTCTGTAGAATTGACTTGACCTTATTGCTATTTAGCAAACCACCAATTTTTGTGTCATCTGCAAACTTTACCGGCAGCGATTTTCCATTTCCTTCCAGATCATCGATAAAGACATTGGATTGCGCTGGACCAAGAACAGCTCCCTGCAGGACCTCAGTAGACACACCCTAATTGTAAATGGGGAATCATCATCCAATTAGTTTTGAGATCTATCAATTAGCCAGTTTTTAATCCATCTAATTAATGCACTGACTTTGTAGAGTGTTAATTTCATAGTTTTGTAAGCAGTGCTGTAATTCGTCAGGCCAGCCAGGACAGAGGAAGTTAAAATGGCTTCAAGGGGGGTTTCCAGCCTCTTTGACTCACCTTAAATATAAGCCTGAAAAGCATGAAAAATAGAGCTTGCACACAGGAATTGCCACCCCTTTGCTCGGGTGGTTGCTGCAGGGCCCAATGGGTAAGGAGCCGGGTGAAGGGAAAAGCATGCCTAGCACAAACCAGAAAAGCACGTGGCTTGGTCTAATCTCCAGCCAGCCCACCCTGGCTCTTACCAGCACTATGCAATACTCCCACACTACTTTCTTGAGCTCTCCGTTGATGTAGCTCAGTGCACCTGGTGGCCAAGCACTAACTGACATTAATTGGCCTTCAGTGATCATTAGTTTGGCTTTCCCCTGTTCCACTTGTAAGTCTCTGAAACTTTTGCTTGCCCATTTTGCGTGATCTGAGCTAGTTATCCCCTGGCAATAGAGAAGGAGCCCTTCCCTAGGGAGTTAGACTAGATTTGTAAAGATATTTTAGACTCCTAAAGATGCAGCGAGGCACCCAAACACCTCCAAAAATCAAGCCCTTACCTCTGTGTCCATGCCTCTGAGCTGGTCTTAGACAGCCACGAGGAATAGCCCCGGGTCTTGTAATGCTGAATGCCAGTCCAAATGTCATACTCCTTTCTTAGGGACCTGGTCCCTGGTTCTCCGTCCACACTGATGCATTAACCTGGAACCTCTCACAAAGATCATTACTGAGGAGAGGACCTGGCAGCTGGCTTCCCATTGCATTTTGCATCTTGGCTAGCAACGTGAGATCACATACTAATAAATACCAGCCAAGCTGCCCCCAGGAAGGGAAGATTTCTGCAGGCTCTGGGAACAGCCGGCATTTCAAGCAGGGCAGCAAGGAAGTGCTGACAATGTCGGTGCGGAGTGACCCAGAGCTACAACATGCTCTTCCAGCCCACGACAGCGAGAAGCCTGCTTGGCAAACAGCTGACTAAAGCTGAAGGACTGTTTTGGCAACCTCTACCCTAGCTACAGCTATAAAAATCATTCCACGTGCTCCAGCGTTGGAGCGAACGTGCAGTTCTGGGATAATGCTTAGAAAGAAAAGACAGCTTGGCTCTAGGGGCTTCAACTCTGTTTTCAAAATAGCTCATAAATCATTCACTGTGATATCCATACCTCCTACGACGAGTCCCTTGAGCCCCATGCGCCTTTGAAGATTTGAGAAAGCAGCACTAGTTTAGAGGAGCACAGGAAAGATAGCATTGCTGTTATTTGTATTATGGTAGGGCCCCAATCAAGAGCAGGGCACCACTGTGTTAGGGGCTATACAAACCCATCCGTGCCCTAAAGAGACTACACAGCACAGGCGAGAGACACAGGGGTCTGTGGTGCAAGCAGAGCAAGCAGCATGCAGGTCGCATGGAAGTCCCAAAATTCCTTTTTGTTTAGATAGGGTTTGGGGTGGGGCTTTGTCTCTTTTACATGAACTGTATCTTCGTGCAAGGGGGGAGGGAAGGGAAGACAGGAAGGAAACACGGCAAGGCAGGAAAGAATGTGGAGAAGATGGAGGGACATGGTCTGGGGTTTCGGGCAGCCAACTCCCTGTCAACTCCCAGGGTTTGTCGATATTGGGTACCACGGGTGTGTCCCCATTGTTTTTGCCATTTGCCATTTGTGCCTGGGCCAGAGGCGTGCCGGGTGCATGGAGAGAGAATGTGGCCATGGGCCTGCCCAGGAGTGTATAATGTCGATTGGACACAGCCAGCAAAGAGAGGAAGGACCGGCGGAGGATGGAGGAATGTACGAGTGCGGCACTGGGTGGTGTGTTGGACACAACACATATGCTCAGAGAGCAGGTCATCTTTCTAAATAACTCACAGGGAGTCACTGCTGGGGGAAAGGAGAATGGAAAGAAGGGGTCTGAGGAGCAGGAAAGAGGAGGGGTGGGAGGTATCCTAGCGAACAGGTGAGGAGAGGACATGCTTGGACGGGGGCACCAGAGGAGAAGGTTTGGGAGCTCAGGAGCCAGGAGGAAGTAAGGGCCTGGGCAGAAGCAGGAATGGAAGCACGAGGAGCCAGAACAAGGGCGTGGTGTGTGACCAGCTGCAAGGGGCAGCGGGCCGGGACAGAGCTGCCCAGAGCCTTGGCAGCAAAGAGAAGAGTTCTGAACTGGATGCACTCCAGGGACTAGTGCAGGGCTGTGTGGGGTCTTGCACGCTCCATGGGACTGACTCGCCCACCCCCGCTGCTCCTGAGTAACATAGCGTGTTACCCTCTGAACCGCAGGGACCTCTGTGCAACACTAATTCAACCCCGTGTGCCCCACTTCCTGGAATTACCGAAAACCATGACTTGACCATTGGCGATTTGCAGCGGTTCCGCTTTGTGCGCCTTTGCCGTAGCGGTTTCGTCACCTCCACAAAAGAAAGAGAAGAACCACAGTTGGTTCATGAGCCACCAGGCCACAACACTGAAAATATCCAGCTCCTGTATTGTGCAGCTCTGAACCCCTAGGGTGTCCCCGCAAGGTCCCAGAATCAGAGATGTGAAAGAATAAAGGAGGTATTTAATGGGGACAAGCAATGGCTTCATCAGAGGCCATACAGAACAAGGTCCAAACAATGGAGGCAACTCAGTGAAACACAGGCAGAACGGCACTGTGGAAAAGAGAGTTCTGGAAGATGACTTGCCACCATTGCCCTCTCTTGTGGCTCAGAGAAGGGTTTATTGGTGTGCAGCACGGTGGGCACTCACCGCTGCGGCGCCTCCTGCTGGTCCTCTGGGAACTAGCTCAGTTCCAGCCTCGGAGCGCCTCCTGCTGGCCAGAGTCTTCCTACCAGTGCCTGATTCTTCCCGACCTCCACCACTTAGAGCACTTCCAGCCCTGTGTCCCTCCCGGATCCTGGTGCCCCGTACCTTGGGGTGCTGCCCCACAGCAGTGCCCCCACACTCTGGGTCTCCCTTCCCCAGGGAACCCAATCCCCTAAGCCCACCTCGCCTCAGTGACCCACTGCCAGTCCTTATCTAGCCCCTTCCTCAGGGGCAAACTGCAGTCTGTAATGGACGCTCATCATCGGCCGGGGGGTTGGATATGCGGCCTTTCCAGCCCCAGCTGCCTCCCTGCAGCCCTAGTACCTCCCCTGGCCTTTAGCAAGGCCTCAGCCTGGGGACTCACCAGGCCAGAGCTCCTCAGCCCTGCTCTGCCCCAGGTACCCTGCTTGCTCTCCCAGGCAGCCTGGTCCTCTCACTCCCTCAGCCTGCCCTTTTATCAGGGTCAGCTGTGGCCGAATTGGGTGCAGCCACACCTGCGGCTGTTCACCCAACCAGCCTCCCCTGACTGCTTTTAACCCCTTTCTAACCACCCCCCTACGTGGTGCAACAGCAGCCACGGGATAACAGCTGTAGGAAGAACGAGCTAAAGGGGCCGTTGACTTCCAGGCATTCGAAACAGAACCTTGGACACCAATCAACTCATTTTCCCCTGAACTCCTTCCGCCGGCAAACCAAGGGAAAGGCAGGAAAAAATCAAGGTTAGGAGGTGCCTTAACGAAGCAGGTGTAAGTGTAAGTCTACTCAACACGATCAGGGTCTGAGAAAGGAAGAGGAAAATCACTCAAGTGATGGATTAAAGGTTTCAAGTATCTGGAGCAGCTGTATGAACGTTCAGAGTCCATGAAAGTTTAAAATATAATTTTTTTTCATCCCTGCAGGGTAAATGTTTTACATTAATGCATGCTGCAGCACTTCAGCCATTATTATTTAATACATGAATTAATTTAAAAAAACCTAAACATCAAACAGTCTTTTTAAGTCTTATATTTCCTGTGGCTTAGGTGGTCAGGATGAGAACTGCTGTTCATCTCTTCTTTGCTTATGACTATATGGGAGTAACAAAGCCAGTGTGTGGGTGGGTACAGGAGTTGTCCTCTAAGGCTGACCCACCTGGACAATCCAGATTTCGGCAGTCTCCATGCCAGTTATTCTTACTGCATAGATTGTTTTCATGCCGGTCAGTTCATAACAATCTGAAGCTACAGTAAGCAAGCATTCCTGGGCTGAGAAACAGCAGGAAAAATCCTGTATAAAGGCATAAGATGTTGCCTTGCAGTGAAATAAGTGAGTTTCAAATGTCAAGCTTGCTGGGTTTTGCTGCATATAAAAACAATCTTTCCAAGCAGTCTAAGATGTGTCAAATGTTGGGTTTGGTCTCTTGGTTCCAGTTGACTCCAGTAAATGGATGAGCATGCCTTCGAAACGATGCTGGAAAGGAAAAGCGGCGATTGGCGTTACTGGTTGTACAAGTAAATAGAACAGATTTCCTGTCATCAGCATGTCAGTGTCTTCATTTACTTAGTTTCAAAACCGGCTTGATGCCAAACGTGATTCATTCAGTTGGTCTCGGTGTGTACGTGTGGTGAAGAGGAACAGTAGGAATGTTTCAGAGCCAGGGAAATCTAACCATGATCTGTGTGTTTCTGCACCTCAGTAAATTAAAACACTTTTTTAAAAAAAGAGAAAGGGTTGAGTGTTGGGCAAAAGTTTTCTGACAAAACTGTTTTTCTATGGAAAAAACAGGTTTTTGATTATGAAAAATTTCATTTAATCTTTCTGTAGAAAATTTTGACTCTTCATAAAAAAGAACATTAAAAATTTGAAAAATTACATCTGAAAAAAAAATGGAAATACCTCTGCAGTACCTCATCGGACTTGTAGTTCTGGGGCCTCATGTCCCTAATCTCCTTTATGGGTTGGGTTCCCCCGTTGGACTACAAGTCAGCATGATGCAGTGCGGGATCCATTAAGGCCAGGAGTACAATATTTAGATCTCCAGGATGGGTCACCCAAGGTCTACTATGGAGAAATGTCAACAAAGCAACATAAAACAGGGTCTAGAAAGTAAAGTGACTCCACTTACTTAGCCAGAACTTCAGCTTATCCAATCAACAATATTAACTAATCACAAGTATCAAGAACATCTAGGATCCAAAAAGACACACATGCAAGCACAGAAATGTCCTTTCAGCCTGACCTTCCACGGCCTAGCCTCTGAGGGCCTTGTTGTGTGACAGCTCGGCTAATTGCTGTCATTTTTGGTAACCGGAGGAGTAGCCTGCCTCCCTCCAGGCTGCCTGCTGGCAAACTGTCCCTGATCACCTGAAGCTGACAAACTGGATTGGGGATGAAGAGCATGGTGTAAGTTTTAGAAGACGGGAGCCATTCTGAAATAGAAAGCCTGCTTCGGTAGAACCTTCTCCCCTTATGCAAAGTAGAGAAGATGAGCTTTCGAGCTACAAGATAAAGGGCTTGTCTAGCTATTCTGACATAAGATAGGGCATGAATTTAAAGCGCAGTAACTATTCCGGAATAAGAGTGTCCAGTCAGACTTTGTGTGTAGACAAGTCCCAAGTGAGCAGCAAAACATCTTTAAAGCCTTTCTTGTGATGTGCAGCGGGGACAGCTGGTGTGGCAGAAAGGTTCCCTGACCGCTTTCCAAGTGCTAGTGTTTCCACCTGATGGGACCACATTGAAGTTGGCTGCCAACACCAGGTCAATGAGCTGCTCAGCCATTTCTAGCACTGACAAACAATGCTCTGTACTCAACTATGCAACTGCTGATCTGATTAGAGTCAGGCCTCAGGGGAGGAAACCACAAAGACTGCCTGTAATTAAGGTCCATTCAGGTTTAAACACATTAATGGGGCATGGTAAAATGTGAATGCCTAGCATGGTGGACCACAAAACTGGGTGACTGGGCAACAAAATGGCAGATGAAATGCAATGTTGATAAATGCAAAGTCATGAACTCTGGAAAACACAATCCCAGCTATACATAAGAAATGATGGGGTCTAAATTAGCTGTTACCACTCAAGAAAGAGATCTTGGAGTCAGTGTGGATAGTTCTCTGAAAACATTCACTCAATGTGCAGCGGCCGTCAAAAAAGCGAACAGAATGTTGGGAACCATTAAGAAAGGGATCGATAATAAGACAGAAAATATCATGTTGCCTCTATATAAATCCATGGTACGCCCACATCTTGAATACTGTGTGCAGTTCTGGTTGCCCCCATCTCAAAAAAGATATATTAGAATTGGAAAAGCTACAGAGAAGGGCAATAAAAATTACTAATGGGATGGAACAGCTTCCATATGAGGGAGATTAATAAGACTGGGACTTTTCAGCTTGGAAAAGAGACGACTAAGGGGGGATATGATAGAGGTCTATAAAATCAGGACTGGGGTGGAGAAAATTAGTAAGTATTATTTACCCCTTCACATAACACAAGAATCAGCAGTCACCTAAAGAAATTAACAGGCAGCAGGTTTAAAACTAACAAAAGGAAGTATGTCTTCACACAATGCAGTGTCAGTCAATCTGTGGAACTCGTTGCCAGGGGATGTTGTGAAGGCCAAAACAGTAAAAGGGTTGAAAAAAGGAATGACAAAGTTCCCGGAGAATAGGTCCATCAATGGCTCTTAGCCAAGATGGTCAGGGACGCAACCCCATCCTCTGGATGTCCCTAAACCTCTGACTGCCAGAAGCTGGGACTGGACAACAGGGGATGGATCACTCAATAACTGTCCTGTTCTGATCATTCCTTCTGAAGCATCTGGCACGAGCCACTGTCTGAAGACAGGATATTGGGTTAGATGGACCCTTGCTCTGACCCCAGCGTATGTTCTCCATGCACAGCACTATGGATCTTAACATTCCCACCAAGCCATGGTAGGGACAGAGGCAGCTGGGTGCAGCATAACCTGTTATAACCTCAGCTCTCAGCATTCAATGCTGAGAGCGAATACTCTCAATGGCACTGCTTAATGAGAAGATTCATGGAGCCCAGTAGCACCAGAAGGAACATCCCACAAATGGGAGTCTGTAGAGACCTCCTTGGAGAAGTTTAACTGAAGGTTGTATTTGGGCCATTATGAGGGATACAGTTTATTGCAGAGTACCAAATATCATGTAAATACATATTGCATTTTGCAATGGTGATATTTAGTCCGCCTTTGCCACAAGATGACTACCATAAATTCAGAATAACATTTTGCATTACATTTACATTTGCTAATTTAGCAAAGGCGCTGTCAAAGCCACTTACTTCAGAATGTTGACTGTTGTCATAGAAGCTTGTTAGCAAGTTGTCAGAGCAGGTATCATTGTTGAATCTGAATAACAGATCAGGTGTCAATTGCTGTGGAAAGAGAAAAGGAGGACTTGTGGCACCTTAGAGACTAACCAATTTATTTATTTTCATCAGATGATGAAGTGAGCTGTAGCTCACGAAAGCTCATGCTCAAATAAATTGGTTAGTCTCTAAGGTGCCACAAGTCCTCCTTTTCTTTTTGCGAATACAGACTAACACGGCTGTTCCTCTGAAACCTGTCAATTGCTGTGGAGCGGTTTGGTTTTGGGATGGAATGAGAAATTCAGCTGAAGGAGAAGGAACTGTGTCTGTGATAGGAATTTTATGAGCTCTGTATGCCAGTATTCTATGAGTGGCTTTGTCATTTCATTGTGCAATTTCCTGAGGAAAGCAGCTAATTTAGGAGTTACCTGAAATGTAAAACATATAGTCAGCAAGAACAATAGGCTACTTCAAAATCCTTGATGCCTGCTCCCACTTAAAAACAGATTAGGGCTAAGGGGCTTCATTTTTAGAGCAACACTGGCTTAAGTGGACTGTCTTTACTCAGTGACAATGGCAGGCTGCACCATTTCAGAGTGAACCTGGTTCTAATGATCTCCCGGCATCATCTGTGTGATAAAGGAGGTGCTGAAGCTGAGCAAACTGCCTCAGTCTGCTGCGGACACCGTTTAATGGGTGTATCGCCAACATGCACGCGGGCATTGCATCCCTGGGTATGCTGCTTCCGGGTATAGTATCAACTACATGAAACTAGAACTTCCACATGGATCTAGCAGAACTAGGGGTTCAGAGAAGCGTGATGAGAATGATCAAGGGCCTGGGGAAACTCTACTGTAAAGAGAGATTGAAGAGACTGGATTGTTGCTCTAGAGAGGAGGCCACTAAGAGGGGATGCAACAGAAGTTTGTATAATAGCGACTGGTCTAGAGAACAGAGATCAGGAATGTCCGTTTTCCTGTAGTAGAACACAAGGGAACACTCAGAGACACTAGAAGTGGGAAATTCACAAGCAGTGAAAGGAAACACTTTTTCACACAGCCCGTAATTGACGGTGGAACTCACCACGTGTGACAGGGTGCGGACAACAGCAGTTATCTGGGCACTCTGCTCACCAATTAAATCGCCCGGGAGCAAACCTGGAGGGTAACGCTGGGCCTAACTGGTCTCTGGGGGATGGGCTGGAGAGAGCTACAAGACTAATTTACCCATTAGCCCAGTAAGTACAAAAGGCAGAGGAAGGAAATGCTTTGACGTTGACCTTGACCCGATCCTTGAGAGTCGGAGCCAGGAGAGATCTCTCAGGGGGAAGCTACTTTCTGTTCCACCCCTCCCAGGGCTGAGTGACCTGGGGAGGTAAATACAGAGCTGCACAAAGTTTATAAGGCTGCTGGGGAGAACAGTGTAAATAAATTGCACCAGGTGTTTGACCAGACAAAGGTCTCCCAGTGTTTGTGGCTAGGAAAGAGAAGTGGGACAATGCCCTGTCACACTGCCTTAGGAAGTCCTTCAGGCCAAGAACTTAACAAGAACCAAGAAGGGACTGAACATTCATGTGGGTAACAAGAACATCCAGAGTTCTAATAGCTAATGGGAACAAGGGATATTCAGCCTCCTGCTTCAGGGCTTCAGCCAGACTCTATCTATCAGACGCCAGGCTGAGACCTCATGTGGGAGCAGATTATCCCCATCTGCTCTTGTGGGATTCTTGGGTGCTGCCACAGTCAGAGACCAGACCCTTGGCGAGATGGACCTTGGGACCCATCCAAATGGGCAACTCCTATGTCTCTATTGGATAGAATAGCTGATACTTGGCTTGAAATCAGGCCCACCTGATTCAGTGCATTTGCACTTTCCCAGGGCCTGGCTGAGACTGGGTTGCAGATGAGTCATGACCTTGTGTTGGTGGGAAGAATACAGAACCACCCCAATCGATGGGTTCCAGTGAAAATCTAGGCCACAGCCCTTGTACAATCTGCTCCAAAGTAAACCAGGGAGCTCTGGCACCTGCCTCAAAGCGGAACACACAGTTTCACTGTTTTAGCATCTAGACGGCTAAGCTCTGTAGTTCTGTGCCATTGGGATCGGAGCCAGAACCTTTCAGGGTGAGCAGCAGATGCCCTATTCCTAGAGACTTCTAAAAATAGACTTTAAAACGTACTATAGCTGATGATCCTGCACTGGTGTGGGGCATATCCTGCTCCATCCTCCATGGGTGCAGAGGACCCTGGTGTGGCAAAAGGATACAATGTGTATATGAATTCCCCAGGCCTTTTCCCAGTACAGTGGGGTACGTGGGACTGTTCATTAGGCTGCTTCATTCGTTAGGCTTGAGCAGTGGCCTGGGAACAGCTCCACTGACGCCATACCCTGGGAGTGAGATTTCCACAGAGCTCCCCAGCAGCCAGCTAAGTCGCTTGCGTTGGGCACCGGAGAGAGCGCTTTGTCTTCTTGCTTACGTGAGAAAAGAACTGGAGCTGTCAGCAGTTCCGGCTGATTTCAGTGACATCAATAAATACAATTTTCAAAATCAGTTACCCAAAATATACAATCCACACCAGCGATTCATTCCCTAGTACCAGCTTGGGACCAGAGCCGTGAAATACAAACAGTACCTGATAGAGCTTCCGAAAGGTACTGGAGAGGGCGGTGATAGTAATGCAGGCCTGGGATTAAGGTGAACGATGCCCAATTTGCATGTCTGACATGTAGAACAATGGAGGCTTTTATCAAGTAACCTGTGATTTGTTTACTCGTGTCCCAAATCTTTAGAAGCGGGAGCACATCGATGTTAGAGAAAGAACAGTATTGTGTAAACAACGCCTAACACTGAGAACCAGACTAACAACAGCGTTAGATATTTTTGAAACCTACCAACAATAAGGCATAAATACCTTTCTTATCAAAAGTCAGACACTTTTAGTGATTTACTCCTGAGCAATCGCTCTGAAAATGCAATACGACTTGCATCCCTCAGGTGGCAGCATAATTTATTTAACTGTGATCAAACGAAAACTACTAGTTTTACTAAAAACTACTACTACAGTAGCAGGGCTCCTCAGCTTAGATTTGCTAATGCTCATTCGTGCTGCTTGCGGTTGTCAACGAGTGCGATAGCCATTCAAAGATTTTACATATCAAATCCACGTTCTGTCTTCTCCGTTGCTGTACGTATCATTTCCAAATACCTGTACAGTACTCCAATTTCCTTATCCTTCTCTAACCGCACCTAACAATCCCAGCACTGTTACGTTCTCTAGTCAAATGTGTACGTTGCTTCAATCTATTTAAACCGGCATTTTCCGTTCTTTCTTTCCAGCAGTCTCTGTGGCTTAGTACTTTTCACCTTGAACCTTGCAGTGAATTTTCCCTGGAAGGAAATTCCTTTGCTAAATTCTTCCATGGATTTTTAACATACTGATTTTAGTTTGCTTTGCAAATACATTCAGGAGTAAAAAGGGGGTCCACACCTTGACTTCACCTGTGCCTATCACAGCATGCCATGTCAGCATATTCCATGTAAACGCATGGACTGAAGAACTCCTCTGCAAGTATCTTAACGTAGTGCAGATCTCATTAGCTTTTCACCCATGGCAGAGACAAGTAAGCCCTAGACTGGAAGTCTGATGGGGACAAAAGACGTTAGCAATGCCAAATACAATAATAATTCCTTGGGTAACATTAAAATACCTCAACCATGTATTGGGTTTACACTTAACTGTACACTGGTTGCATGTTTAATACCATGGGACTAGTAAAATATATGTATTAAGGTTTAACCTCTCCTGGAGGTCAGAAATCTCCTGTATAGATTGAAATAAGTTTGGGCAATAACATTATTCGGGCCTGATGCTCAGAGGTGCCAACAACCTGCAGCGCTCATTGACCTCCACTGCAGGGGTGGCCCTGCCCCCCCGGAAATCAGGCCCGTAGCAGATCATTATTTGCAGTCTTTATCCCACTAAGTCTAAGTTGCTCTTGCAGCTAAGTCGCTAAAGGCAACACCTAGGCTGCAGGCCTGCAACTCCCGCTGGGGCCGGCAAGGGAAGAGACGCAGAGCAGGGGCTGCTAAGTCTCTGTCCCATCCAGCAAGCACAAGGCAGGATAGCTCAGGCAGGTCCAGGGGTGGGGAGGGGGGGGAGGGGAATCGCTCTACAGTGCTTCTTGCTGCTGCTCCATAAAGAATCAGGTGCACCACAGCCCAATGCCAGCCACCCCCAGCAGCACAGGGGACCGGGGTCCCAAGGCTGCCCATGACGTCTGACGGGGTGACCAATCCCCTGGGGCCAATGGAGCAGGGGGGTGTCTCACCCGGGCCAGCCTGTATCCTGCTCTGCTCCTACCTGTGAGCACTAAGGGGGAAAGGAAGAGGTCTCCTGCATTGGTGAGAGACCTACCCGTGGTGGTGAGTCCGGGGCAAGACGTGAGGCGACCCTGCGTGGTGACAGTAGGCGGTAGGTAGCAGAGGCTGTGTTAGTGAGTCTGGGAGCTAGACGCACAGAGAACCACAGGGTCTGTCTGCATCCAGGAGCCTCGATAAAGAATCCTTTGTATATCCATCAAACCTCAGACCTGCCTCTTCTGTATTAGGAGACACACCCGGGCTCTCTCCTCTGTGAGTACACCCGTCTGAGACAGGCCAAAGCTCTGCTCTCGATTCAAAGTCTGGCTATTTATATATGCATTGCACCAGCAACTCCTGCCAATCCATCCAGCCTACGGGCATTCTGAACAAGGATTTTAAATGCTTCTTTTCATAGTTAAAAAAAACCGGCTGGAGATGCGAAGGCGAACGAGTACCCAATACAGCGGTGTTACATAGTCACTCCGCAGCACGCCTCGCTGGCAGAACGGAAATCCCGCCATCAGCAGGAGCACAGCACCATCTCCTGCCCGCACAGCTCTGTCGACACCCCTCCAGCAGGAGCCTGTGCCGGCACGTCGTTTCCCAGACATCTTTAACGGGGACAGACTCCACGCCAGCAAAGTGCACCAAGAAATCTCAAGCTGGTTTTCCTAATTAAACTGTCTCGATGACATTAATGCCCC